GAGGTGGTGAGGGGGGGGGTGAAGTCTTGTTGTAATGACATGCAGTGCAGTGTAGAGAGGGACGAGGATGTACAGTGAGATGGGGAGCGGGACAGTGAGACTTTTCACATGTGAAAACGTCTTGCAAAACATATTTGAACGGGGTGAACGATCTCTAGGACAGTGTTTTGGGTCCCCATAGGTGCATATCGTGATCAGCTTCTGGCTAGCGACAGGCATCTGGTGCCTTGAAGTACCAGGATGTCGCTTTGCAGCTTTTCCCACGAGTGCACGCGAGTGTGGGAATTATGCAGCTGCTTCGCGCTGTACTACCGTAGACCTTTGACGAGCGTGGATGTCTTTACCTTCTTGTGAAAGTGGAGGAAGTGGTTGATATTTGTTATACAGGTTCACCTTAGGGATATTTTACCCCGGGCTCATTCCTGTACCTCGTCGCAATGAGTAACTAGAAAAAATGTCTTTCCGCCGTTCCCTTCAAGTACCCTCCCAATATCATTCTCCTTTTTGAGCCCAGGTTCACGATGAGCTAGAATCTTTGCCACAAGGGAATAGTGAGATTTCAGCAAAGGTTTCGGGCTAGGAATATCACTGGGATGTGGTAATACCACGTCAGTACGTCTCCCTTGTCTCTCCGTAGCTACCAGATGCAAGTACCGAAATGTGGATTTCACATCCATCGCCACTTCTCAGCATTAGTGTTGTGGCCTGATCTGAAAACTTGCAGGTGACTATCCCCTGATCGTCTTGGTCCATAATAAAACTCTACGATGGGTGGTCATTAGGTCTTTTAATCTGTTTCAGTTCTAATCTGTACATCAATATTACTCTTTTTTTATTAGAGATTTGGTCTGCATCGACGCTGTTCGGTTTGGAGGGGGCATTGTTGCTGTTTTCTTTTGTTTATTCATGTTAAACAACAGGTATCACATTTGTGAGACTGTAAACTCCTGCGAAACCTGAAATGCTACGAGTGGGCCGCTTCATCACGGCAATTCACAGGCCTTCACAAGGTGACATGTGCATGCCTATCTGAGCGTCATATGGTGCCCCTACCAAACCGAACTGCGTTCTCTGCATCTATGTTTGGTTCACATGTGAAACCTTATTGAAATAGCACCCATTTCTAGCTATGAACGTCCGTTATGGTATGAGAAGAATCCAAAACCCGATCGTAGTGCTCTGTTTCTGGGGTCAAGACTCATTAAGTGGAAAGCCCATTTGGTTTGATGAGTACGTTTACAAATTTTCGTGACATATTTATAATCCATCGTTCACTGTAATTTTTTTCAGAGTTGCAGCAGAATATGAAGCATGTCGAGAACGAGTCGGATTGATCGATATGAGTAGTTTTACCAAGTTTGACATAACGGTGAGAGTTGGCATAAATTCCTGTCCTATCCTTAGTGATGTTATATGGGATTTTCAGGGTCCCGATGTGGTGCATTTTCTACAGTATCTTTGCTCAGCTAATATTGATAGACCAGTTGGTACTACAATATACACTGGTATGCAGCATGAACGAGGTGGTTATGTGACCGACTGCACTCTGAGTAGGCTCACTGAAACTAGGTAAATATCATCTTTATCTTGTTATATGGAATAATTTTGACGTCCCTGGGCGCTTTCGGCTTGGGGGCTTTTTGCACGTTCGTTAGCTCCCTATGTTAGGTCACGTTGACTAGCAAAGCATCTCTGAAGTGAGACCTGCTGTAAACTCATATCTATTGGGTCGGCCCATAAGTAATGGCGTTTTTCCCCACTCGAAATATCGCGCTGTAGAAGAAAAGTTTTGCCATTGAGTTTTATACCATTTTGCAGAGAATTCCTTGCCCTACACGACAGTATTCTTAGTTTTCTTCAAGTTTCTCTTTCCAATAATATTTTTGTGATGAAAATAGAGTGTCAGGTTGACGAAATTGAGCATTTTCGACAGCCTCTCTTTTATACCTCTAATTAAAAAGCTAAAACCGCATGGGTCCAGCTGCTAAGTATATGGCTGAAAGGCTACGTCTCTTAGGAATGCTAATAATACTTTAAGTGATTCGAAGTTTCAGTTTCGACCTCACAGACAAGCATCGAACCTAATGCCCTATTCTGTCCAGCTGAGAGCTTACGGAATTACCTTATTAACTGAGAGCCATGCAAAGATTGAGCGATCGTTAGAGGTCATAGAATGCTTCCTTATCATTATCAAGCATCACCTTCACTTGAGTGGAGAACTTCAAAACTTAGTGGATGGGTTCCGCAGGCAAGATGCCCCCCCACGCTGTTTTTATCCAGTTGTCGTGATATTCTCACCATGTTATCGTGAAACAACTTTAAGCTGTCATGAGATGCACCTTTCGTTGGTCATATATGTCACAAGGTTTGAGCTCCTTCTGTAGATTAAGGGAAGAGATACACCTCAAAAAGTAGTTTCGAAAACTCCTTATGGACGACACGCATTATTTTTCCCTTTTAATGAATAAAGATCGACGAAATCATGAAACAGTAGAGAGGTAACCACCCTATCTATAGAGCAGGAAATTTTCTATCAAACAGTGTAGAACATATTGGTGGAACAATTGTCGTTTTTCATATAAAAAATTGCATGACAAAAAACGCCATTACTTATGGGCCAACCCAATAGTTGCGAACTGGAACAAGTGATCCATTCTAGGATACATCTGTTTTAAACAACTTCACAAGGTGACGCTGAATAAGCTTTTGAAGCGAATTGTGTCCCAACCGGACTCAAACTGTGCTTCCTCAATTTTATCTTTTGCCCCCAATCTGACGGGGAATTTCTCATTGCAGTTACTTCATGATTGCTCCAACGATTCAGCAGGAGCGTTGCACATCGTGGATGAAATACTGGGCTAAGAAGATGAATGTCAACAGTTCATATCAGGTATGTGTTTGTGAAAAAAGGATGATCGAGTCTTATTTGCAGTTGGATTGTAGTTGGAAAGAAACTACAAATGCTACTGAGTATTGACGGTAATGTGTAGAAATCGGCTGTTAACAGCGTGAACTCATCGAATCGATACTACACTATTTGTCCCTTTGAGACAGTCGGACGGCCAGCAAAGGAGTGTATATCCGACTACGCCACCCACCTTTACCTTCTGAGTCGTCGACCTATATGTCTCCTTGAAAGGCAGATTTTCCCGCGATCACGTACCAAAGTAACGTGAATATAGAACCGTCCTCCATGTAAACGAAAAACGTCTGAGGTACGCATCTCATTAGTCCAACTATTGCGTTGACCTACCTTCGTGGACAGGCTGCCGTGTATAATGTTATAGATTTGAGCACAGAACGGGCGAGAGTCACGAGGCTAGACGTGAAACGCCTACTCATCACAACGTGTAATGCCGTCCAGACTTGAGGGTCTAACTTCATTATCTCAGTCGCCTTGGTGGCACTGCATAACCCAACAGCAAGTCTGTAACTGGAGTATATGCTCATCGGATGAGAGCACAGCCCGTTGTTACAGCCGATTGTCTACACATTACGCGGTAGATCATACGACGAGGCGAGCAGTTGGTATGTGAGGAATTCACCAATAATCGTCTGCGAACTCGTCCACATTGCCATCAAAATTTCTCGTAAAGGGTCCCTAATTTGCAACGCATCTTCGAACACCTTTTTCCCTAACTTTTTTTGATTAGTGCTTCATATCTGTACATCTGTTCTATATCAACCTAAAGACCCCTGATGAGCCTGCACACGTCCATAGTAAGGCGTGCTGAGTCATAAAGATCAAGCGGATTGATAATCGATCTCTCAGGGGCATGGCATTGTCCTCTTAAAGCGTCACGGTAAAGGCTTCGTTGAGGAGTGATCTAGTCCAAAGGTATCTCACACCCTTCCATCGATCACGCATGAGCCCGCACTTGCAATAGCCTGTCGCAGCAATGTATGCCCACTGAGCGCTAATTCCGTAGTCGGTTTTTTACGCTGCCAAGTGTGATGTAACACTTACCACACTCACGCTGGCAGTACAAGTTAGTATGAGACACTGCGACTAAACGAAAGAGCAGAGCCATTAACTCACATCTATATTGAGCGCTTTAAAGCAGTCTACACGCTTTGTCTTTCTGCGAACGATTGAGACGTGAAGCACAGCTAAAGGGCAAACGTATTGCGAGAGCCATAACTACAGCGCTATTCAGCTTCTAATCGAGTAATCATGCCGTTGTTGAGCTCTCGTTAACAACGAGCAAGTAGTACGTCAGTAGATGGACATCGATCATGTGTTCAGCTGTGCGGACTAAGCGTGAAGCTGCGTCAGGAGGAGTACGTTTGTCGGCTAGCGCTATCACGCTCTCCTTTGGCTGTTGAGAGGTGGCAAACAACAACAATTGATGGAAAAACATGCTGGCGCCGCGCCGAGCACTCCCCCCCCCCTGCCAAGCCCAGCATCTGCAGCGAACAGGACTACATCTTATTCACCGTTTCGGGCTGTGCATAGAATTTAAAGGAGCGCGTTCTCCCTCTCAACAGAATAATTTCTAGTGATTTGTTGAAAGAAGTGGTCAACATTTAACAGATGCCTGCTCATGTCCAGGTCAATGCTTTCGTTGTACGTACAGGCCCAGTGGTCCTAAAGGGCGAGCAGTGTGATCTATTTTTGAGCAGCGATTCGGGCACATGTGTTAGTTATCAGTTTTCAGGACGTGACAGGCATGTATACGGTGCTAGACGTTGTGGGACCATCATCACGCTACTTAATGGCAGACGTGACAGAGATGTCGATGAGTACTCAGGATTTCCCTACATTCCGGTGCCAGGTATGTATTTCCTATTTGGAATTGGCACCTCCCTTTGGGTGCGTCTGTGTTGTTCAGCGTACGGATCCACTTTGCGTGGTGTTTTGAGCATTTCGGTAGAAAATCGGCGTTCCAAGCGTTTTGGGCCAAAAGGTAAGCATAGGTATCGATCTATGGGGAGAACGCCAGAGCTCCGAGCGTTCTAGCCGAAATGTCTCCCCGTTTTAAGCGGAAAGGGTGGTATATGAGCGAGGTATATGAGTCGACGCTTCGCCAGAAGCGACCGATTCTCGTAGAACGCCGATTCTTCCAAAGCGCTCGAACGATAACTGGCTTTTTTTTGTTCGGAACACTAAGAACGCCGATCCTCCCGACGCTAGGTATGAACAAAGCCTAAGAAGCGCGCTGTCCTATCGCATGGTGGTTGTCGAGCAAATTTGGTGATCAGTTGACCGCTTGCCACACGCATCACAAGCTGGCGAACGCATGCAACATTATGAAATAGACATTTCACTGATTTCTAGGAAATCAACATTGGAATGGCTACTGGCATTCGAGCGATCAGTGTCACGCATTGTGGTGAACTTGGATGGGTTATTTATATACCTAATGAGGTTTGTTCGAGCTTTATGTAGCTGTTTTTACATTTAGCGCTGCCTACTGTGCAACACCACCCAGGAAATGGATATTGGTCTGTCGCGCGTAAAATCAATAACTGTTTCTGTACACTTCGAAACAGTTATTGAATTTACGCGCGACAGACATATCCATGTTCGAAGAACATTGTGCTCTCGAATAGACTAACTAACTAACCTGACAACAAGTTTCCTCTGTTCAGGTAGCACAGAACGTGTACGAGCGACTAGTGGAGGCAGGCCGAGAGTACAGTTTGATGCACTCAGGCTATTACGCTTTACGACAATTAAGGATCGAAAAGTTTTACGTGTACTGGGGCCAAGATATCAATGCCACGGTGACGCCAGTTGAGTGTGGACGATCCTTCCGTGTAGATTTCAAGGTACATCATTTGGAGTGGTGTGCAGATTTAACGCCGTCCGACAAGTAGATCAAGAAGAAACTGAGCAATTAAGCGGTGAAGAGAGGAATTGAAGCGAATTTCGTATGTCAAGTTTGCCCGTGTGATCATGAGCAAGGCGGTTTCTTTTTATTTCTACCGTTATACTCTCTGTTGGAAAAGTGAAGAGTTTGATTGCAGCCAGACGAATATGAAGCGTTGCGGCATGCTTTCCGGGTTGACTTCACTGTACGTTCGATTAATCCCAGCTACCATTTTCTATGCGTTCATAGAAGATAACCTTTTAGACTTTCCTATTGTCGCTTCCAGAATAATATGTTATAAGAGCTAGATAGTTAGCTTTCATTTCGGACTAATGGTGTTGGGTTGAGCAGAACGTCCTGCAACTCAAAACTCTTTGTTATGGGTTTTTTCCCCGTAAAGAAGCTTCCTCTCTCAGTGATGCAGTTTTCTTTGCTGCTGAGAATCTTGATGCGGAGGTGGTGTAGCGGCAGGTGGCGCGTTTGCCTCGAGCACGATCCGAAGGTCCAACTCCGGGTCGGCTCCTGCTCAGGCCAGTCGAGCCTTCTGCCACCTGCCACAAAAGACTCTTGCGTAGTCGATGACTTGTAGGTCCCTGCTTCCGTTTCCAATTACTATTCCAGACAGCAAGCAAATCCTTCCTGTTCCCTGTTGATGGGGAAGCAGGGACTGATACGAAAGGCTTGTTTGACTCACGAAGTCTTTACGGAGTTCATGCTAAAACTAATTCTGGAAATCTAATGGTAAGTGCAGTGGGATGAATGGTGACAGTCGTTTGGCAGCACCCGTGGGTATGTAACAAGAGAATCGTAATTCGCCGCGCTGGTGGGCGCCGCGTGCGACGTCGCGCCAGCAAATGGCGATGGTCCCAGGTAGTAGATGGCGACAACAGGCAATTCAGAACCGAAAATAGTCATGAATGTCTACGATGACGGGGCCTACATGAAGTTCGCTGCTCTAATCAACAGGTTACGAGTTAAATGAACACCGCGCCCATCGCCGCGCGCGGCGGAGCGGCTAATTAGGATTCTCGTGCACGTCTCCCCCGCATCCGTAGCGTCTGGCATTTGGTGTGCTCCAGTGAATAACATCCGAAATGTTGCAGACATTCTTGCTCGCAATTCCAAATATCGTGAGCTTGTGAAGTGTTAGCATTAAAATTTCAGAAAGACTTCATTGGGAAGGAGGTCCTCGTGAAACAGCTCGAACGTGGAGTTTCGAAACGATTTGTGCAACTGCTAGTGGACAATCATGACAAAGACGTGGATCCATGGCCCCAAGGAGGCGAAATTGTGTATAGGTAAGTTGAACCCTTGTTATTAGAGCTGTCTTAATTTTTGCTTTTCTTTTTTGCAAATTTCAAATTTTTAACGTGTATTATTGCAGAGGCGACGTTTTGTTCGCTGGCGGAACAATGGCAAACGCCCCCCTACCCCCAGTATTTCCCATCCTGTGATACACCGCCACCGCCCTCCTTTCTCATCGAAACCGATTATTTTTTTTTTATATTTCCGCACATTCCTACAAGTGTTTTCCGAGAGTTTTGTCAAAATTTTGTGCGTCTCGCCGTCGAGGGCGGTGGGAGCGAAGGTAAAGGCACAGGTCGTCCACAAAACTCAATTTACTTACTACTTTCAAACGACATAAAAGTAGTTGTGTGGGAAGGAGAGGAAATCGCGTACGAAAAAGTCGCCCAACAAACGAAAAAAATTCTCGCGGACGCGCCTCTAAACTGCCGAAAAAAAAATTTTCCGGACGCAGCATGAAAAATAGCAGCAAAGTGTTTTTGTCGCGATAACAAAACACTGCGTTCGCACGCCGATCGTAACCACACGGTATTTGCAACTGTCGCGCGCGACACCGCGTAGTCCTACCGTAACCTACCATGCACTGACATGTATTTAATGTAATGAATGTATTCATATTACACTGGTGATTGCAGAGATGGAAAACCTGTAGGTAGGACGACATCAGCGGCATACGGGTTCACCTTAGGGTGTCAGGTATGCTGCCAGCATCTTTCATGTTACAGATTTTATGACTCGGTCAGATATAAGCGCTTCTACTTCCAGGTATGCACAGCCTATGTGGAAAACAAAGATTTTGGAATTTCACCAGATTTTCTGAATCGAGGCATATACGAGCTGGACATAGCGGGGAAACGTTTTCCCAGTTCGAGTGAATCTCCATTCACCCTCTCTACCAATGATCTCTTCTGAGCATCCACTACATTATCGACCCACACAATAGGTGCTTGTCCTCGTTGCCATGACCCAATGGAGCTCCATAACGTCAAGGAGTCTTTCGAAACCTAAGATTTCAATATTTCAGAAGCATTTCTTCTGGAAAGACGTGTGCCATGTTTTAGAGTATTCGATTGTTTATGCGTGTTTTGTATATTGATATGTAGAAATCGTACAAATAGTACGTACAGTCTAATCACTGCAAATGAGAGGGCGTATAAAGGGGCGCAGACTGAAACGACGCGCCAGGGCAGCCTTTTCCACCAATTTCCGCAGGCTCAGAATAACATCAATGGGTGTAAAGGGCCGCCCTGGCTGCG